GATGAGGATTCAAACGTGAGGCTTTCTAGGGTGGACAACCTGACTTGCATAGTATTTACGACTGGAGAGTGCAGTTTCTCATCACCTCTCAGGCCGAATCCAAAGTGCTCCACTCAGGACTGGGCCTCCACCATCAGATGCCAGCAGCCGGCCATGCTCGCAACCAAGGAATGACACGGAAGCCAGCTACCACCCACCACAGACACTGCCACTTAAATCTTATCACCACCTGGATCTTCCCTTTGACTGTTGGACACCCACCTCATTTTTTGTCAATCTACTTCTACCAGACCCTTCAAACCTCAACTCCGAAGATACATATTTATTTTTTAAAGATTTTATTTATTTATTTGAGAGAGAGAATGAGAGAGAGAGAAAGAGAGAGAGCATGAGAGGGGGGAGGGTCAGAGGGAGAAGCAGACTCCCCGCTGAGCAGGGAGCCCGATGTGGGACTCGATCCCGGGACTCCAGGATCATGACCTGAGCCGAAGGCAGTCACTTAACCAACTGAGCCACCCAGGCGCCCCGAAGATACATATTTTTTAAAGGCAACAGTCTTTGAAAAAGAACAGAAACAGCCGAAAGATGAATGCCAATGTTGAACAGTCTTTTAATTGGGAGGATAGTGGCATGTTGGGTTCTCTCCATAGCCTCCAAATCCTGACTCTTGAGTCTTCTGTTGGAACTAGTGATGGGATGAAAATTCCAAGTATGGGTTTTGTGATGCCTTTAGTGTTGACTTGAATATTTGTCAGTTGGACATTTTTTTCTCTCTCTCTTCCAGACGGGACTCCTGTGACTCGTCACTGTTGTTCTGTTAGTGCCAGGTGCTTTTCCATCACTCAAGAACATCAATGAGGCCAGCAAACCTCCAAGCAGGTGAGGTTATATCACACCTAAAACTTAATGCTTGGCCGAAATCTGAAGTCCACAAGATGAATGACAGACTTAAGTAAAAGCCGTTATGTACTTAACAGCACAAAAATTTTCCGTTACAAATACTGTTTTCACTCTTTCTTAATTAAAAAAAAAAAATGCCTTAAGGGGACTTTGAATTTCCAAGCCTTCCAGATCAAAGATTTCTTCAGTTGTCTGAAATATAGGAATGTTGAAAAACAAAAACAAATCCTTTTCCTGCTATAAAATCCTTGCCATGTTTTTGTCTTTATGTAACTCAAACGGCAAAAAAAAAAAAAAAGAGTTTGGTGAGTTCTGCTCAAAACCCAGAATCTCATCAGAAATGAAGTAGTTAATAATTTTGAAAATGAAGCCCTCTAATCAGTCTGTCCAAATAATAAATGTTACTAAAATTTATCTTATTTGAAGATCCCCAAAATTGCTAAATAGCACTTGGAATAAAACAACTTAGGGCTCAGGACACCAAAATATTTTAAATTGTTTATTAAAGTGATTCAGGACCAAATTTTAATAATTAGGGCACGGTGACAGTGGTGGCCAGCATAATTTTCCTCTGATTCTGCACACGCCCGTGGCTATGTGTGTCCTTTTGACAGCACAGTTGCCAAAAGGGCAAACTGTTGATTTCAAAAGCTTTTGCAGAAAGCATAGGCTTTTTGTAAAGTAGTCGTTGATAGTTGTGAGTTTGCTGCTGCTTTTGGTCTAAGGCGTGACCCTCCATGTAGGAGAGACAAACAGCTCTGAGCAGGAGGTGCGTCCTCAGCTTATGGGCTGTCTGGTATGGTAGACAGCCTAGCAGTTTACTCCCTGTGCGCTAAGTGCTCTCAGAGTTTCAGCCCTTTGAAAATGAACCCTTTTTGGCTTCGTCACTAGCGAGATATCATTATGCTCATATTAATTAAAAAAACACTACATGGCAAAAGTATGTGTCCCTATGCTCCCGGGGAGCAGCAGCTCACATTCCTGCCCTCTGACACAGAGACTTACGGCACCTTTTTGTGTCTCATGCATATTTGTTTCCAATTTCCTCCCATGTTACCTTAAAAACATTTTTTAAATACATTTATTTTCCTAATTGTTAGAAAGAAATGCACCTTAGAGGAAAACTGGAAGACCAAAACAAGCAAAAAAAAAAAAGATAAAAGTTTAAAAATCCCAGTTGCATTTGCTTCATGACAATTTATATTTTGTTGCAGTTGCCTTGTGAGAATGTATTTACACACTTGAGATCATGCTGTGCATGGAAATTCCTACTTTTTTCTTGAAAAGGGCCATTTTCTCATGTTGCTCTAAGTTTTCTATCATTCATCTTAATGAATGCATGCTATTCTATTATGGGATATATGACTTATAACCATTTTGGGGACATTCAAATGGCTTCAGTATTTTGCTAGTATAAATAATTCTGCAATTCACATCTTTTTTTTTTTTTTTAAGTAAACTCCACCCCCAACATGGGGCTCAAACTCAAGTCACATGCTTTATCAATGGAGCCAGCCAGGTGTCCTTGCAATTCACATTTTTATACATAAAACTTTTCAATATTGCTCTGTTAGACAAAGACTTTAAGTTCCAGTCACAAACATTCAATCTGCCCTGGCTTAAGCGATAAAAAGGAAATGTATTAGCTTGCGGAGCTAAAGAGTTTGGGGTAGAGATGTGCTTCAGGCATGGCTGGACTCAGGGGTTCATTGGTGTCTTCAGGAACACATCTTTCTGTTTCCTGGATCAGCTTCCCTTTGTGAGGGTTTCATTCTCAGGCTTGCTCCTTTACAGCCTCTGAGAAACAAGATAGCAACTATTTCCCAGTATTTCCATTGGAAATCTCACAATTGAGACTCACTACCATGACTCGGGTCAGATTCCTTTCCCTGAGCCAGTCACCCGGCCCAGGACACCTCTGCTCCCTCTTCCATCTCACTCCCCCACCACCCTTGCTTTGCATACCTGGACCCTGATCTTTCTTGAAACCACCAGCCTGACCATGGCCCAGGGCCACGGCCTCACACACCCTTCCCACCATGTCCCCGTGGCTGGCTGCCCCCTCACTTCCTTCAGCCTACACTCAGGACTTCCCAGCAGACTCTCTGTCCTCTCTCCATGCTGTGTCTCTTCAGAGACGTTATTACTCCCTGATGTCCTGTTACATATTCATGTGGTATATGTTTGAATCATTTGTCTCCTTTCATGGGAACCACAATGGCTGTCTCTGTTAGCAGCTCTACCCAGCACTCAATAAATAATTATCAAGTGAGCTAATGAAGGAGTTTGCCAGGCCACATATGTACCCATCCGTAGGGTCGGCCTCCCCTACTAAAAAGAAGCGCTTGAGGGAATACTCTGATTCCCCGAAGAAAATGGGTGGCCATCCCCAGGCCACGGGGACTAGATGCTGGACTGGCCAGTGAGGCCCATGACAATTTGGTGTCACGTTCCGCAGCAACGTCCCAGGTAATAGGACTTCAAAAGATGTGAGTGTTTTGAGTTTCTGGATGTGTATGCTAGCTCCCCTATAAAAATCCTCCTTATGGCAGACGAAATCATCTTTCTTAAGTGCATACCAACTCATGTCCTGCCCCAGCTTAACACCGATAGCTCCCCATTGTACTGTGCATCAGGGAAGAACTCGACCCTGGCACCCAGGCCCAGAACAGTCCAGTCTCAGCCTGGGCCCTCTGACCTCGCAGGCTCCAGCAGGCCCTGGAACCTGCTCCTTCTCACCTCAGGACCCTCATTACTTCAGCTTCCCTCTCTGCTGGGAAGGCCTGCCGCACTGCCAGACTGCTCCCTAGTCTCTCTGCCCCTCAGGAGGCCTCCCCAGACCCCTCACCCAGCACTCCCCTCCCAGCTGCTCTCCCGGCCATCCCCCCACACTTGGGCATGTCTTCTACACACCATCTGCACGCTTTTTGGCACCTTATTTATTCTGTCTCTGCCTCTAGAATGTAGGTTCCCTGAGGTCCTTTTGTCATTGTCATCTGTGATATTCCAAAATGCAAAACTGGTACCTGGCATATCAAAGGTTTTTAGTAAATTTTTTGTTAGAAAATAAATTGCTCACCAAGAGGGTTGTAGTGATTAACTGAGAATGCTCATTTCATCTCATCTCCTGTTTAAACAGTTTTTCTTAGAATACAGCTCAAGAGGAGCGCCTGGGTGGCTCAGTCGTTAAGCATCTGCCTTCGGCTCAGGTCATGATCCCAGGGTCCTGGGATCGAGCCCCACATCGGGCTCCCTGCTCAGCGGGAAGCCTGCTTCTCCCTCTCCCACTCCCCCTGCTTGTGTTCCCTCTCTAGCTGTCGAATAAATAAATAAAATCTTAAAAAAAAAAAAGAATACAGCTCAAGAGATGGATTTTTTTTTTTAAAGATTTGAGAGACTGAGTGAGAGAAAGTGCTCATGAGTGGGGGAAGGGGCAGAGGGAGAGAAGCCAACTCTCTGCTGAGCAGGAAGCGCAACTCTGACTTGGTCCCAGGACCCTGAGATCATGAACTGAGCCAAAGGCAGACATTTAACCGACTGAGCCACCCAGACGTCCCATGGAGATGGAATTTTTTAAAAAAGGTAGTTGTCAAAATTTATTTACTTATTTCTTTTTTTATTGATGAGATGGAATTAGATGGAATTCTTGGGAGTCCTCACTCCACGGGTCCTAGAGGAGAAGCAACGGGGCTGTTTTCAAAGAGATACCACTCCCATTTGAACAGAGATCAGGTGCTCTGTTCCAGCCAGGTATGTTACAACAAAGCCCCAGCAGGGTTCCACTTTCCCATTTGGTTTAAGTACAGTCCGAATCTTCATGCTCCTTGTGTAAGTGAAAAAAAAAAAAATGATGCCTTTTTGTTACAGCTCAACTCAAGGGATCTTGTTACAGCGAGTAAAAATTAGTAAAATTAATCTGCTCAGGTATCTGGGATGTGGTTAGGCATCATTTCTGTGCATTCCTATCCCAAATTATCCCCAGTTGTGTTAGCTTCTGATTGACAGAACCCTCTCTAATCTGTTCATTGTTAACATCAGAGTACATATATTTTTGTCATGAATTTTTTAAAGAACTTAAAAAAAAAAGATTTGCAAAAAGAGTTGACCTATATAAAAAGCATTTAATATAGAGGACACAAAAAGCACCTTTTATCAGGTAAAAGTTCCTATGACATATATCAGATTACAGATTACACTCATCAAATCTCCCGTTACCTGCAAAGAATTTGTTTGAACACAAAATAACAAACTTTACATCCCCAGTCTTCTTCAGACAAATCTTCAGCGTCAATCAACTTGGGAATCACAATTAATTCAGCAAAATAATGATTGTGTTCTTCAAAAGAAAACAGACAATACAAAGTTTTCTAGTTTAAAAATAGCACCACTGGAGGAAGGGCATAGGTCTTTTAAGTGCCAAGTCCCTAAACAAGTGATTTACCACAATTCATGCAAACTAAACACGGACTGGTTGATGTTTTGAACTTTCCTGTGATCGGGGGTAAAACACAGAAGTGAGGAAACAAAGCAAAACAGTAACTTTGGAGAATTAAAAGACACACACACACACACACACACACACACATCCCTGCCAGAGTGTGTTTCTCATTTTCCACCCGTTGTATCACCAGTCAGCAACCTCGACCACAAAGGGGGTCTTCACGTCTATCTTGCCACTATTGATGATGGAGCAGTCGGTGAGCGGACGGTCATGCCCATCAGTTGCCTGGAGTTCTATGGAGTGGACCACAGTCTGGTGAGAGAAAAGCAGACCCCTGGTTCACTTCTCACCAGTAACTGTGGGGATCACAGGTGAAATCAATGCCTAGTCTGAAAGCCCAAGTAGGAAACCAGGTTTGTTGTTGTTGTTTTTGTTATGATGCAAAAGTCATGCAAGCCAACTATGGAAAACTTAAAATATTCAGGAAAGGTATATATAACAGAATAATGCTTACCCACCACCTTGCTACTGAAAGAACATATTTCCTCACTTCTTTTAATTAGCATTTTATATCCTAAAAATAATATTTTCATAAACACATAGCTCTAATAAAACGTATTTTACCCACTTTACACCCCAATGTAAGAGTTAACATGGAATATGAATCAGCTTCAGTGATACCCTGTAAACGGTGTAGGCATAAGAACCTGGGTCAGAAAGTAGATTTAGAAGTGGAGCTAGTTCTGGGTTTGCCCATTTTAAAGCTGACCCAAGCCATTAATCTACAGGTGGAGTGAGAGACCCCAACCGCACAGTGGTGTGAAGGCTCTTTCTCTACCCTGGAGGGCTGCACATCCCAGGTACCACCTGGAGCTTCACACTGAAGGAGGGAGGACTGGTCCAGGACTAGGAATGATGGCTTCTGACCGGTTTCCCAAACGGGGCTGAGACAAAAATAGCAACAAGCTGTCTCTTTGCCTTGGACATGGTGCCACCCAACCCAATCACTGGCCAATTTAGGTTAACTTAAGATAAAAGACCAGCGTTCTTCTAATAATACTCATATATATTGCTAAACATTGTGTCTGTGCACACATGTACACATGTATGCCTAAAGCAGTGGCTACCCATCCGATGACCTGTGGAACATTTTAAAAAATGCTCATTTCGAGTTAAAGTGGAAATTTCTATGTATATTTTCAAAAAGTTTTTAAAAATGCTTATTGGTGGGCCCACCTCTGGACGTTCTGATTCTGTATGTCTGAGGCTAGTTCAAGAAAAGTGTAGCATTAACAAAGCAGCGCAGATGATGTCTGCGTTGGAATTCAGGAGATTCTGAAAATTCCTTGAAACAGCATAACACACACACACATACACACAACTTTTTTCCTCCTGGAGAGAAAGTCTATAGTTTTCATTAATTTCTCAAAGAAGTCTAGGACTCATAAAATGTTAAGGACTGTTCCTCTAGGCCCAGGCAGCGGGTCTCCCAGGACGCAGCCCAGCAGGGGGGCGGGGGAGGAAGTTGGTACGGTCGGGTAAGGCAAGAAGACAGAAGATCTAGAGAGTGAGAGGAAAAACCATGACCGGAAGAAGAAACCACAACACTTGCACTCTTCATTTCTTACAGGTTAGCACGACGTATTCAAAAACACTCGTCGCATGAACGTTTGAACCTGGTTAAACTTTTTAAAACCCGGTTCGGTCCACTGGTCAAAACCGCTAACTGATGGAGCACAGGCACGTGCAGGTTTAGCTCACTTCACGGGCATCATTCCGTAAGAGACTTGAGGAGTGCTGGCATTCATTACTGTGTGAGAATAGATGCCTCGAAGGACAGTTATGGCTCGTGAGAATATAGGCCTGTCCTTTATTGTGATAGGATGGGAAGTGATCTATGAAGTGATACGTGTCTGCCCTCGCTCCCTCTCCTCTCACTTGCCAACGAGAATCCTGTCTTCGGTGGCTCAGGCTGAACACTTCCTTGCCTTGTGCGGGAGGTTCTGAGTGGGTCAGCTCGGTTCCTGGCTTTTTGATGGGTGGAATTAGGATGGGGGTAGAAGCTGTGGAAGAATTGTCGCAGCTTGGTTCACTTGCATTTGGATGGAAGAGACAGAATGGCTCACATGAAAATAAAAATGGGGACACCTGGGTGGCTCAGTTGGTTAAGCGTCTGCCTTCGGCTCAGGTCATGATCCCAGGGTCCTGGGATCAAGCCCCGCATTGGGCTCCCTGCTCAGTGGGGAGTCTGCTTCTCCCTCTCCCTCTCTCTCCGTTCATGCTCGCTCTCTCTCTGGTTCTCTCTCTCTCTCTCCCTCAAATAAATAAATAAAACCATTAAAAAAACAAACAAAAGAAAATGAAACCAGGGCGCCTGGGTGGCTCAGTTGGTTGAGCGACTGCCTTCGGCTCGGGTCATGGTCCTGGAGTCCCGGGATCGAGTCCCGCATCGGGCTCCCTGCTCAGCAGGGAGTCTGCTTCTCTGTCGGACCCTACGCCCCTCATGCTCTCTCTCTCTCTCTAATTCTCTCTCTCAAATGAATGAATAAAATCTTTAAAAAAAAAAAAAAGGAAAATGAAACCAAATCAAATACGGAGGGGGGGGTGGTCAGGAATGGTCCATAGTTGGGCTGGGCAGACCTTACACCTGCTAGTTTAGGAGCTGGGAGAGCTTCTGTGGGCAGCTGCTAGGAAAGAGAAATGTTGGGAGCAGAGGAGAGGGATTTTAAGAAGTGTTTCTCTGGATTGTGAATTGGACTCCTGAGATATTCTTTGAGACATACCTGCAGGAATTTGAATTCCTTCCAGTAATGGTGTTTGCTCTCCGACTGTGTCTTTGGAGGGGACTTGTTTCGGTATGCAACCATGTGGTGCTCGAGGGATTTTTTTTAGTATTTTATTTTCAATTGTGGTAAGAAACCTAAATGTACCACCTTATCTATTTCTAAGTATACAGTGCTGTAGTCTTAAGTATATTCCCATTATTGTGCAACTCATCTGCAGAACTTTTTTTCTCTTGCAGAACTGCAGCTCTGTACCCACTGAACACCAACTCCCCGTTTCTTCCTTCGCACCGGCCCCTGGCAACCTCCATTCTACTTCATTTTACAGGTATTTGACGACTCTAGATACCCTTTAAAAGTGGAATCATATGGTCTTTTGTGACTGACTTATTTTACTCAACATATTCAAGGTTCATCCGTGTTGTAGCATGTGACAGGACTTCCTTCCTTTCTAAGGAATAATAATCTATTGTATGCACATATGGGGCCCGGGTTTTATTTGGGGACGTTAAAAAATGTTTCCACTTATATCAGGTAGTGAGATAGATTAAGCCCTCGATTTTTCCATGGCAAGTCTCCATCTTCCGCCCCAGTGCTCCTCACGATTAAAATACCACACACAGTTCACCTTTGAAGAGGCAAGTCAGCATAGAATGATGGAACTCTACCAAGCACATTTTAAGATTAAAATAAATCACTGAAGATACTCTCGCTCTAAATATAAAGTTTTGAATGAGGCGTAATAACATCACATTACCATTCCATCAATGACTTTTCCAAATACCACATGTTTGCCATCCAACCAGGTGGGCTTCGTCAAGGTGATGAAGAACTGAGAACCGTTGGTATCAGGCCCAGCATTGGCCATGCTGACCCACCCAATGCCATAATGCTTCAGTCTGAAGTTCTCATCTGGAAATGTCTCACCATAAATACTTATACCTGGGTGAGACAAAATTAAAAGAAAAGAGAGGAGAATCACCAGATGTTATATGAAAGTAAATTCTTCAAAGGGAACCATAAGGTTTTTTTTCTTCCTTTAAATTTTTATTGTTATGTTAATCACAGGAACCATAAGGTTTTAATAGATTTGGTTAATAGAACCCTATAGGACATGGGGATGGGGAAAAGATGGTCAAGCATAAGGAGAAATAAAGGAAGTGATAAATTCACTCCTTTGGGAAGCAGGGCACCAGAGACTCAGATAAACACACAAAAAGCCTTAAAGATGGCACTCTCCTTCTGGCCTCAAGGCAAGACCCCAACCAGACAAGTCAAGGATTTCACTCGGAAATAAGCGCGGGCAGGATGACATCGTTAAGCCACGTGGAACGCGGGATGAGCCGTCTTACTGGTGCCATGTCTGTCCCGAGCTTCACGTCACTCCCGCCTCAGCACCCAACCCTGGTGCAATCAGCACTTAATAAACACCCTTAGCTAATTCTCACAACCCTGCAGAACGGGTCTTCTCAACCCCACTGTAAATGAGGAAACCGAGGTTTCAGAGCGTGAAAACTGCGCCGCAGAACCTGGCAGTCACGTGGCTTTCGGACCCTACAGCGGCGGCTCTTGCCTGCGTCGGCGCCGGAACCAGGGCAGCCCAGCCGGGCCGTCGCGAGGCACGACACCTTCCAGGCTCACCAGGCTACAGAAGGGCCCGGCAACGGGAGCGCCCAGCGATCCGACCTGCAGCGGAAGAGCCAGACGCGGCCATGGGGACCGGAGTTCCAGCTCAGCAGCAAGGAGAGCAGAACCCGCTTCTCCCCTAAGAGAACAGTACAGACCATGAGAAGCGACTGCTCTATCCTCCAACACATGGAATGCGTGTCACGCCGCCGCCTCCCTTTCTGCTTGGCTCTTCACCCATAGGTTGCCAACCTTGAAATCCTGGCTTGGCTGGACGGACCAGAAGTGGCTATCAAAGGCAGGCAATTTAGAGCGGACTGGTCAGTGACAGATGAGGTGTCCTGGAAGGAAAGCTCTGCTCACAGAGAGGTCTAGGCTGAACGTAAGTGACCCAAAAGGTCCTTCCTCCAAAACTCAGAGAATTTTAACGCCAAGACCTGTGCGCGCGCGTGCGCGCACACACACACACACATGGCAGGGAAGGCAAAGGGAGAGAGACACGTCAGAAACGAGGACACAGGAAAGCTCAGTCACTGCTCCTGCTGGGCCCCAGGGCGGGAGCGTGGGACGCCAGTGTGCAGGGCATTGCTACTGGGAGCTGCACACTCCTCCAGGGAGACCCAGCTCTGCAGCAGTCGGGGGAGGGCTGCTCTCCTGGGCATCCTCCCCAACCCCAGGGACCCAAGTAACCTGACCCTGTTTCTCTGCTCCATTCTCTATCCCCATACCCTGCAGCGTTTTTGCAAGGACTAAAAGTAATTCTCCTGAAGGCCCTGGCAAATCAAAGGGTTTAATGGCAGCCTTTTTGTTATAAGTAAATCATTGCAATAAACATAAAATTAGCTGTCCTGCTTGAAAATGGGCCCAAGGGTTTCTTTAAAAAGTTAGCAATTTCATACCCATCAGAATATTTGCCGAATTAAAAATTTTAAACCTGAAGTAAATTTAAATCCTAATGTAGTTAGCTATAGCGTGTGTGTTCAGGAAAAGGACTCGCTACAGTTCTGAGGGAAAGCAGCCCAGAGAGCTTGGGTATGCGCAGTCCCCCGTGAGGAACAATCAGCTCAGGGATATGTGATGGTCCATAAATTTTAATTATTTGTGCTTCACAGAACTCTAACTTGGCTTATAAAAATGTATATTATAATTTTGACAACTCACTGATTACTTTTATTATTATTATTGAAAAAGCGGGCAACAATATGAAAGAATTTGGAAAAAAGGGGGTAAATCCACCTGCAGTCCTGCCACCTCAACTCCGGTCTCTCCCTCCGGGCATGCTTCCCCCAGCCCTTCTCCACCACATCCATGTCGGGAGCCGGCCGTCCCCCCAGTGTGCGCACACATTCGTATTCGACCTTTCCTTTCTGTGCCGGGCCTCTTTCCCTTACTGCTGCCTACTGGGAGTCTAGCATGTTAGTAACTGCACAGCCGTCTCCTGGATGACTATATCTCCACTATGGAAAGATAATGAACCAGAGCAATATTGTTTTAAGTGAGGAGGCCTCCCTCATTCGTAGCCGTAATTAGATTTTGGGAGATGAGGCCCCCCCAAACCCTGTCCTTCTGAAGAATTAGTTTGGTGGTCATGAGGAATTTGTTTCATACGTCTGGGAATTCAACTCAGGGGGTGAATGCACGGACTTGATCTTGGGTTTCAGTTTGGTAAGCAGAAAAGGAGAAACACAAAAGACATGGTTACCGCCGGTGCCGTCCCCACTCGTGAAGTCTCCTCCTTGAATCATGAAATCTTTGATGACGCGATGAAATTTGCTTCCTTTATAGCCGTATCCTTTCTAAAGAGATTATGTCAATTGAATATACGAGTAGATACAACCCATACTGCAAGATGAGCCCCAGTGTTTACTTGGATGTGACTAAATGAGAAAATGACACAAACTACCTACAGAATTAGGTCCCTGCAACAATTTTCTGGTAGAAATTTATCACTGATGGGCCCAAAATAAAGAAATAAATCAACTGTGGAAGTAGGATATTAATGTGAATAAGTGAAAAGAGAGCAATCTGCATTCTCACGTGCTGATTGCTTCCCCTCAATTTCTAGAACCTCGAGGACACTGAGCACCCAAAGAGTAAGATTTGGTAGGAAAATAAAGTAAAATATTGTAAGATGTCTCAGGTTCATCAGACCTGCTCAGTCAACACTCATTTTCCCGGAAGACATCTCTATGCTGGGCTTCAAAGAAGGAAGACCCCCCTACCATGCACATTTAAGGGATCCAAAACTGAGACATACCTCCCCTGTTGCGAGCGCAACAAAATTTTCCACAGTCTTGGGCACAACCTTTCCAAAGAGGCCAATCACAATTCTGCCAACATCTTTGTCTCCAATCCTCACATCGAAGAAGACCTGCGTGTGGGTGAACAGCAGAGCAGAGGGTCACAACGGGGAAAAGCCACAAGTAGGAGTGAAATGAAAGGTACAATCTGAGAATGCATCCAGATGCAAGAGCCCTTCCCCCCCTCCCCAGCAGGTGACAAAGGAGCTCTACAACCATGGTGTGGCTGCATTCCACCTGTAAAAATGTTCATTCCGCCAACACTTAGTGAGCACCCCCTATGGGCCAGGCACCACACGGAGGCGCTGGGTTTGAAGTTTGACTCAGCAAGGTCCCTAGTCAGCCAGTGAGGTCTCTGAGAACTCCACGCCCAGGGCAGCACTGCGGCGACCTCCCCCGTCCCAGCTTTGTGCTCTTCTGAAAGGTGATGCTCTTGATCTTGGCAGGAGAGAACGACAGGTAAGGAGAGACTTATTTTTTTGTAACTTCGACCCGTGCCCAATTCCCAGGGAGTGCTCAGTAGACACCTGCTGTCAAGGGAACGGCAAGACATCAAAACGCACAGCAAGTCCTCCGAAAGGCCTGCCACTCACTTCGGACTCCGTAAGGCTCCAGGTCCCCAGCCTCGTCCAGAGCCCCGACAGAGCCGTCTGCCCCGCCCACTCCGACGCCCAGCTCAGTTCTCATGCCCCCAAAGTCCTGCGGGGACACTGTGGTCTCTGCGGCATAACACGTTAGAACAGATGAAAGAAAGCACGTACCCAGAAGTGAGTGTGAGTCATGTTGTGTGCCGATGAACCCTACATGTTCCCTGAAACGAGTTTTAAAAACCGTTTCATCCGAAATGAAATGATACACATTTTGCTTCACAAATCACCGTGTTAGGATGACACAGACGGAATGCTTGAAAAGGCTACGGAGTCGAAGGGCATTCTATTAGCGGGTTTAGATGATATGAACCAATTTACTGTTTGAATGGGTAAAAAAAAAAAAAGACATTTGAGAGATGGCTTTAAAAAATATAAGAAGGGTTGTCAAAGAAAAAAGATGTCTTACAGGTTAGAAAAATCATGAAGTAAAGACTGTCAAGCTTTAGCGCAAGACAAGAGCTTCTGCCAATACATCAGCCCGTCTGTCACGGGGTGATGTGATATTTAGTGCTCCGTGTGGCATTTTTGAACGTTCACATGGCCACAGCAGTCGCAACTGTATTATTATTTATACAGCAGAACTTTATAGACTGTATCAAAGACCGTGCCCTGGAGATGAGGCGGTGCACTTGAGGACGGTGCACTTGAGGGTGACAGTTTGGCATGGCCCGGGGACAGGCTGCCACAAGCCGGGTCACGCAGGGCTGGTGTTAAAGAGAAGCAGCTTCTCCAAAGGGATGTCCAAGCCCAGGAGTAAATTCAGGAACAGGGAATGATGAAGCAGCCCCGGGAGAAGAATCAGGGAACATCATCTTAAAGGAACACCATACAAGACACTAGAAACGCCTGCCAGACTTTTAACCTACAGAAGAGAAAATAAAGCCTGTGGATGTTTGGACAGCAAGAAGCATAAAACGCGGGAGAGCAACAGGAGAAGGCAAAGAAAAGGGGCCTGTCACCCAGCAAAACTCTTCAATAAAAATCTGCCATTCTGATGTGCAGCCTCACACACATACTAACACGATTTTTTCCCCCCCAAACTTCAGGGTCCTTCCACTTCATGACTGACGGCATGAAAATATAGCAGAGTTTTCCTGACTCCGGTGGAAATGAGAAAGTCACATCTTCCTGGGTCACAGGAACGCAGTATCCCCAGACTGGAGGGACGCTAAGGGTGAGGGAAGGCATCCTGGAGAAGGGAGGGGAGCGGCCTCCGGGACAAGAATGGGCAGGAGCCCTACCGGGCACGGTTCTTTCTGGAGCCAAAGCACCAGGGCAGGAAATGGGCTCTTTGTGCAGGGGACCCAAGGTGGCTGCCAGGCAAACCCTCTCCCACTGCCCTCTATCACCCTGAGAACATCTCTGACTGCTTGCGTGCCCTTGGAGACAGGCCCTTTTCTGGACATGGGGTGAGGCTGCAAAGCCCCTAGCCGCAGGGAGTTTACAGTCCCAGAGAAAACACATATGTAAGTAGCTATAATGTAATGGAAAATCTGGTTTTATGACAAGATAAGTACAGATGAAATGGATAGAGGTGATGATTATCTGTGGGGAATCAGGGTGGGCTTCCTGGCAGAGGTGGTAACTGGATTCCACACCACACTTCAGGAGTAAGCTCAGTCATTTCTTTTTCCGCTGAGGGCTGCCTTTGAAAGTCATTTGAAAATGATGGGCCACTGGAGGTAGAGAAAAGAGGGAAGAGGAAGCAGTCACTCACACAGCCTGATCCTAACCCCTGTAGGGTTAATTCTGCTTCCTTCCATTTCCAGAGCAGCTAGGGCAGACGCCAAGTACAAGAGTCAACTGTCCTCACACCCCCACTGCACCACTAACTGGCTACGGGACCTTGGGCAACTTAATTCAACTCTGAGCTCCTGTTGCTCATCTGTTCCACAGATGACCCCTCTTTTCAGGGCTGCAATTTCACGGGAGCATTAATAAGGTAACATAAATAACACCAACAATTGACCTCTTAAATCAAGGCTAAGCACTTTACCTGCTTTATCACATCTAATATGCAAAAAAAAAAACCAAAAACCAAAAACCAAAACAAAACAAAAAATACCCTGTAGGTAGATATTATCTGTCTCCACTTAAGGAGAGGGAAATGGAACCTCACACATTAAATCACCTGCCCCGGGGCACCAGGCCATAGCCACGTGGCCACTTCATGCTCTAGAAAGTGCCGGCAAGTTGGGCCATGCATGAACGCAGCTGGAAAGATGGCAGCATTATTCTTTCTAGTCTCCGTGCCTGACCTTGCCCAGAACGCCTGGCATCTGCTGAGAAGTGCAGGGTGGCAAATGCCTATTCGGGGGGTGTTGAGACCAGTGAGCCAGAGCGTGGACCCGAGGCTCCAGGGCTGGGCTGCTCAGGCAGCTGAGGTGGTGGCTGGTGAGTGCCACTGAAGGCCCTGGGGGGACAGTGCCTCACACCTCTCTTATTCCAGATTCCAATTTTAAATGAAATCGGAGGAAAAAGGACGGACTGCTGGGGAAAACATGAAAGCGATGGCCAATTTATCGACTTTTCTGAACTCAGAGAAATAATTATTTTTTTTTTTAAATTATATTTATTTGACAGGGAGCTAGAGAGAGCAAGCACACAAGCCGGGGGGGGCGGCGGGCAGGCTCCCCACTGAGCCGAAGGTAGATGCTTAACCGACTGAGCTACCCAGGCCCCCCTCAGAGAAATAATTTTTAATGTCTCTATTTTCCCGTATATTGACTTGTTTTAAAAAGTCCATTGAAAAAGTCATTCGACAGGGTCAAATCTGTAGAAGACTCGCCTACCCGATTAGCTTTTAGAACTTCATAATAAATATGGTAGGAAGGGAATGGAGATCTATTACTAATTCTGACAGTTGAGTGCAGGAAAACTTGCTCAGTGACAGCACCCTAGCCAAGGGGCAGAGATGCTCCAACTTCCCCTCCCGGAGCCACCAGCTTCCTCCCTTCTTGGCGCCCCTTGTAGACATTTCCAGCCCGGGGCGACACACAGATCGTGACTGACCTGATCTGGGGTGGGTCTCTGCACTGGGTAGGTTTAAAAGCTTCCCTGGTGAAGTCTGTTCCCAAATACCGCAGGTGATACACTCACACTAGGAACTGATTCATGTTTATCTGAAAGTCACACCTCACTGGGAATCTTATATTTTGTCTGGCAATTCTACCTCCTTTCCCCCACCCCTATCTAAACGATCAGCAAGTCCTGTTAGTTATACTGCAGAACATCTATTTCACGTCCCTCTGCCTTGCTCCCCATTTCCACGGCCACCACCTAAATCCACGCCATCGCCATCTGGACTCTGACACGGAGCCTGAATGAGCTCCCACTTCACTCTCGCTGAGCGACCACAATAATTGTTGAAAAGCATGTATGAGATGATGTCAATACCATGCTTAAAACCCAGGAGCTCTAACTGCACTTAGACGAAGACCTCAAGTTAGAAGATTAACTGCCGCAAGACCTGCTCCTAACTGTGGCCTCCAAGGCCCCGCACGGTTTTGCAGCGGCTGACCCTTCCAGCCTTATCTCAAGACAGGCCACCCACCCCTGGGCTGGAGCCTGTCCCGTCTCTCTGTCCTCTGAACACTGATGGCTTTCCTGGCCAGAGCCCTTGCGCATGCAGCTCCCTTCGCCTCCCAAGTGATGGCCAGGCTGGCTTTTCTTATCCTCCAGGTATTTTTCAATGTCACCCGGGCTAGAGATGGGTTTACAGAAGTCCCCGCCCCCTTATCCACGGTTTCCATTTTCCCAAGGTTCAGTTATTTGCCTTAACCGTGGGCCAGAAGCAGAAGGTTCTCCTTGTGAGCTGCGGTCAGAAGATGAGGAGGAGCCTAACACCTCAGTCATCTCACTTCATCTCACCAAGTAGACACTTTATCACCTCCCGCCTCGCAAGAGGAAAGGTGAGTGCAGTAAGATATTTTGAGAAAGACGACATTCACGTAACTTCTTACAATATAGTGTTATAATTCTATTTTATTATCAGTTATGCTTATTAATCTCTTACTGTGCCTAATTTATAAATTAAACTTTCTCATTGGTATGTATGTATAGGAAAAAACATAGTATATGGGTTCGGTGCTCTCCTGGTTTCAGAATCCACTGGGGGTCTTGGAACTTCGCCCCTGCAGATAGGAGGGCTTTACTGTACGTTCTTCATCGTTTTAGGAATGTTATGCTTACGGTTATATCCCGAGAGACCCAGATTGTATCTGCAGACTGAAAGACTCCATCTCCCCCACCCTTTCAGCTCTATGGCCTTGGACAAGCCATTTCTCAAAACTAGATATGCCCCAAATACCAAGGGGCTGGGCAGAGAAGGAGGTGCTCAAAACAGTGGGGCTAAGTTTCTCTCTCTCACACACACACACTAACTGCAGCCTGGTATGTTCACTCTCAGGCTACATCAGACGTTGGGGTGACCTCCCTCTCCACATGGCCCTCATTGTCCGGACCCCCTACCCCAGCTGGGGTCTGTGGTAGAGGACCTAAACCCTCTGCTACTGGTTCAACGGTATCATTCCCACTGGCAAACACGGGACTTAACTATTAAAACAACTTGCAGCTGCCCCTCCTTCCAGATTCCAAGACACTGCTGCCAGTGGGTTTTCCTAGAAGTGGTTATCAAGGGCACCAAGCATTCCCTCCCTTCCTCCCTCCCTCGCTCTGTCTCTCCCCACACCCTCCCATTATCTTCTAACCTGGGTAAATAGCTGGAAAAAAGCACCGAAGGTGGAGAGAGGCGGTCCAAGGCAGATTTCCCCGCCCCCCATCAGTCCCCCCGCCCATCCCCTATGGAGATTAAGAGGCTGTGCGTGCTAGCACCTTCCCAAGCTCAGGGTCCAAAGTCTAAAAAAGTCCAAGTGTAATTGAGCGCACCTCTCCCCCCAGCGGGAAGACAGCCTCTCGCTCACAGCAGGGTTGCGAACGCTTGCCCGGACGCCCGCCCCCCCTCCCCCCCGGGCAGGGGCTGGACCCGGGCTCCTCCAGGCCGTGTGACAGCGGTGGCGGCCTCCCACTGCACCCCCGCGGCTCGGAGCGCGTCTCTTCCGCCCGCATTCTTCCTGCATCCATTCCCGGGTCCTCGCCACGCCGAAGGAAGTACTCGGGCCGCCTCCTTCCTGGAGAAAGGGCCCACTGGTTCTGGAAGCTTCCTCCAGCCCCCCCCCCCCCCCCCCACCGCCCCGGGCATGTCACGTCGGACCACCGGCCCAGAGACTAAGTTCAAACTGCTCGGCCCATTGCCTCCAAGTCGCCCCGGACAGCGCGACCCCCGCGCGCCGGCAGCCCCCTCCTACTGAGCCCCGCGGCCGCGTCGCGTCCCCCGCGCCCGGGAAGCCCCCTCCTCGCCGCCGCGCACACCGAGGACCCAGTCCCCAAAGCTCTCCCGTCCCCCTGGCCCGCGCGAGGGCAATTTGCTGCCCGCCAGTCACCTTGGCCGTCACGGTGGGGCCTCGCCTGCTGACGCCCGAGGCCCCCGCAGAAGGCGCGAGGGCGCCGAGCCCCACGCAAAGCGCAAGAGCGAGCAGCAGCCGGGGCCCCGGGCCCATGGCGAGCAGTGGCAGTGGCGGCAGCGGCTCGGGCGCCACCTCAGCCTCCGGGACCGTTGGCAGGATTCCCGGGCCGCTGCGCCTGCGCGCTCCCGGTTGTGTGGGGGGGAGTTGATGGGATGAGGCGGTCGGGGCAGGACGGAACCTGGGGCGCGCTCCTCCCAAGTTCAGCCCAGCGACCCGCCAGGGACTGGGCGAGGCGCGCCGCGGAGGCCGAAGCCCGGGCCGACCGACGCTCCAACGGCGGCGGCGCAGGGCGCTGGGGGCCGGAGCAAGTCCGCTTGGCTGGGGCGCGGTGCCCCAGAGAGGCGCGGACGCTTGGCGCCCTGGAGCTGCGGGGTGCGCGCGGGGCATCTCCGGCAACTCACCGGCGTAGGCGCGTGTTAAACCTGGCCGAAAGTTCAGGACTCTCGGCGCTCCGAGTCCGCCTGGCAACTTGCGCGCTGCGGGGCGGAAGGCTCTGCAGACCAGTTGGCGTCTCTGACCGCAGCTGCCCTTGGAGGAGCCCCCGCCGCACCTGTCAGGCTCCTGAGAGCTCTTCGAAGACTTTAGCCTAAAATATTGGACGCCTCTCAGAGCTTTGGGGCCCCTGGATTGCTTGACTCGATTACATGTGATGAGTGACCCTTCACTGAGATGATTCAAGTTGGAGATACAGTTTTTACAAACTTATGAATTGGGTTTAGGAAGATGATTTAATGATATGGGAAAAGTTCGTTGTATTTTTTAATGGAAATTCAGGCTGCAAAATCATATAGAAATTTTGATTCAGCTGTGAAAATAAATACATAAAGCCTTTTTTTTTTAATGGAGAGAAACGTACCAAAACATTTACAGAAACTATCGTGATAGAATTATGGATTTTTGCTTTCTTTGTAATTTTCTGATTTCCCAGGTGTTCTATATTGAGCATGTAAGTATTTTATAATAAGGAAAACGTTATTTTAAAACTCAGTGCTTTCCGAATTAGGGCTTAAAACTTTTTAATGCTAGAGTACTAGCTCCAAAATTAACTACACATTAATAATAGTATTCTCTTGGTTTTCTGATTGGCTGCCATGACCTTCAAGCCAAGATTTTCCTTGGGTAAGCAGATAGGATTCCTATGTGTAAGCGTAGATCTAAAATTACACTGGAACCATTTCTTTTTTTTTTTTTTCTTTTAAGATTTTATTTATTTGAGAGAATGAGTTGGGAGAGGGACAGAGGGAGAAGCAGACTCCCCACTGAGCAGGGAACCCCACGCAGGGCTCAATCCCAGGACCCCAAGATCATGACCTGAGCCAAAGGCAGACGCTCAACCCACTGAGCTGCTCAGGTGCCCCAGAACCATGTCTTATATATATAAAAGGAGTGACTGCCACTTTGGAGGGATGGGTAGAACACATCCAAACTACTTTGACAATTCAGTCCAGTGAAAGATCTAAAGGCTGTCCTCATAACCTCCCACCCCCAATAAAGAGTATTCTCTATAATATATATATAAAAGTTATTCTTTGGTAGCCATCTAAGGATATCAAAGCACTTATCCCACTAAGTGATTGTATGTACTTTTCTGTATTCATTACTCTAATTGTTTTTGTCTGCCTCTGTTACCAAAATGTAAGCACCACCAGAACAGGGAGCATACCTGTTTTTATCCCTGCTAATGACCCAGATCTTTCAGTGTCTGGTATATAGTGATTTCTCGGTAAATATTTGTTCAGTGAATAAATGTGTCTATCTATGTACTTTTTAAAAATCACTTTATTGGGAAGATTAATACAAATAAAGAAAAGTGCACAGAATGTAAACCAGTGAATTATCACAAAGCAAACACAATGAAAACCGCACCTCCCCAAAGAAATGAATATTCAAGAGCTCCCTGAAAACTCCTCTTGTACCCACTCCCAATTACTAACATTTTCTTTTCCCCAAATTAACCATAATCCTGACTTCTTACATCGTGGTTTAGTTTTTTAACTTCATATAGATGGAATCTTACAGCTTGTATTCTTTTGCTCAGATTTATGCTTGTGAAATTCATCTGTGTTTTTGCACATAGCTATTTTGGTGCATAGCACAAGGTAGGGGTCAAATTCCATTTTTTGGGGGGGGATATCTGCTTATCCCAGCACAATTTATTGGAAAGTCTCTTCTTTACTGATTGCTCTGTAATATTTATGTCATGGAACAAGGGTCCCTACATGCCTGGATCTGTTTATGGGCCCTCTCTTCTGTCCCACTGGCATCTTTGTCTGTCTTGGTACCAGTACCACATTGTCTTAATGAAAATAGCTTTATAATAAGTCTTCATTTTTAGTAATGCAAGTACTATCACTTTGTTCAGCAGATTCTTGGCTCTTCTTGACCCTTTCCGTGTCCATATAATCTTGAGAATCAGCTTGTCAGTTTCCATAAACTGGGATTTTGATTAGGATTGCATTGCATCTCTAGATCATTTTGAAAATACTTAGCATATTTGTAATATTCCAGTTCATGAGCGTAGCATATCCCTCCATTTATTTAGGTCTTCTTTAATTTCTCTCAGTAAGATTTTATACTTCTCTTCCTAAAGGTCTTATTCATATTTTGCTAGATTGACTTCAAGGTATTTGGGGGTTTTTTTGTGCTATTGTAAATTATACCTTTTTAAACATTTATTTTCTTGTTTGTTGCCATTATAGTATAATTAATTTTGTACATTATTTTTGAATAAACCAACTTTGTTAAACTTATAAATTCTAATAATTTATCTGTGAATTATTTAGGATTTTCTACATAGTCAACTATATCTATCCAGGAGAGTTTTATTTCTTCCTTTCTAATCTTTATATGTATTTCTTTTTCTTGCCTTATTGCATTGGCTAGGACCTTCAGTACAAAAGGATGAAACAGTAGGGGGAGTCATTGTTTTGTGGGTTAAGTTGTGTTCCCCAACAAGATATATGTTGAAGTCCTAAGCCCCAGAGTCTGTGAATGTGACTGTAGTTGGAAATAAGGTCTTTGCAGATGTAATGAGTTACGATGATGTCATACTGGAGTAGGGTATGACTGTGACTGGTGTTCTCATAAAAAGAGGTGAGATAAAGGCATACACAGAGAAAATCACCGTGTGAAGGCAGAGACAGAAATTGGAGTGATGCATCTAATGCCAAGGATCATTGGCAACCACCAGAAGCTAGGAAGAAGCAAGGAAAGATCCACCCCTAAGGCCATCAGAGAGAATGGGGCCCTGCCAATGCCTTGATTTCAGACTTGTAGCCTCCAGAATTTGAGACAATAAATTTCTGTTTTGAGATGTCCAGTTTGTGGTACTTTGTTATAGCAGCCCTAGGCAACAAGTAAACATGTCTTGGTCCCAATTCCAGGGAGAAAGCTTTCAATATTTCACCATTAAGTCTGATATTTGCTGAGGTTCTTTTGGGAATGGATATCATTTTTCAGCTTATGAAAATTCCTTTCTAGTCCTAGTTTGTTAGGAGTTTTTGTGATGAATTTGATCAACGTCTTCTATTGAAGTCAACTGAAATAATGTTTCCCCTCAGACTGTGAATGTGGTGAATTGCATTGATTTTTAAATCTTAACCCAGTGTTGCATTCTGGAATATGCCCAACATGTTATTGGCCTTTTTATATATGGCTAGATATGGTGTGCTTATTATTATTATTTTTTTAACAAACTTACTGAAAACCGGGAAAAAAACGCATTTCTCCTGAGGTTTGGGGAAAAAACAATGGGTAAAGTGGCTCTAGCTTTCTAGTTGATATCAAGCTGGTATTTAACATTCCATTTTTATGTTAATGGATAAGTTTGCAATTCTTATTTTCAGGATATCTGCGTCTATTCATAAGTCAGACCAGCCTGAAATTTTCTTTTCTTGAAATTTCCTGCCAGTTCTTATATCAGGGTTATTCTGGACCTCTTAACAGGAGTTGGCAAATGGTAGTTGTCCTTCCTGTGCTCTGAGTGAGTTTGGGCAAGATTGACTTCATTTCTTTCTTGAACGTTTCTTAGAATCCCCCACAGCCTGGAGTTTTCTGTATTACAAAGCTTTAATTATAGGTTTAATTTTTTTAAAATAGTTGAAGGATTAAATTTTCTATTGTTCCATCAGTGTTTACATGGATATTTTGAGGAAAATTTCTCTATTTCATTTATATTTTAAAATTTGCATTGTGTAAAGTTGTTTAATACATCTTTTTATAATCTTATAGGGCTGGAAGACTTACAGTCATGTCTTCTGTTTCATTCCTGACATTGTTTATTTCTTTTTCTTTGAACAGCTTCACCAAGGGAGCTGGTAATTATATTTATTTTCATTTCATTAGCTCTGTTCTTAAATGTATTATTTCCTTCCTTCCATTTTCTTTTGAGTTTAATTTACTGTTATTTTTTTTCTGTCTCCTTGAGATGGACTCTTTTCTCTTTCTTTCTTTCTTTTTTTTTTTTACTCAGTAATATGGATTTATATTTATATTTATATTATATCTCCTCTGTGTCTTTTCATGGCTTGATAACTCATTTTTTTTATTGCTGAGTAATACTCCATTGTATGCTGTTTCACTGTTTGTCCATTCACCCAAGCAAAGGAAATCTCTTTGTTGCTTCCAAGTTTTTGACAGTTGTGAATAAATCTGCTATAAACATCTGTGTGCAAGTTTTCGTGTGGACATAAGTTTTCAACTCCTTTGGGTAAATACCTAGGAGAGTAATTACTGGATCATATGGTGAGAATATGTTCAATTTTGATTGAAACTGACAGACTGTCTTCCAAAGTGGCTGCACCAATTTGCATTCCCCCCTTGACATAAATAACAACTCCTGTTGTTTCACATCCTTGGCAGCATTTGGTGTTGTCAGTGTTTTGGATTTTAGCCATTCTAATAGGTGTGTGGCGGTAGTATTTTACCTTTTAATGTTGTGTAAGCCAAATTCTCTCCCTTTTTTTTTAAAGATTTTATTTATTTATTTGATAGAGAGAGACAGTGAGAGCAGGAACACAAGCAGGGGGAGTGGGAGAGGGAGAAGCAGGCTTCCTGCGGAGAAGGGAGCCTGATGC